TCACTTATCTATGCCAAGAAACCTGAAAGACAACTAATCTGGCCCACTGATTGGAAGAGATCCATACTTTGCCCATTGCAAAGAAAGAGGACCCAAGGGAATGTGGAAATCATTGGACTATAAGTTTCTACAGATAATTAAAAAATGGCTACAGCGGTACATCGACAGGGAGTTTCCGAGGGTCGGGCCAGATTCAGATGGGATATAATTGCTAACATTAGTTAGATGAATCTTGGCTGAAAGCAGAGAATACTAGGAAGATGTTTAACTATGCTTTACTGACTACCCAAAGGCTTTTCATTATGTAGATCACAACAAGCTATGGACAACATTGTGGAGAATGAGTATTCCAGAATACTTAATTGTTCTCATGAGGAACCTACCTATACACAGACCAAAAGGCAGATGTTCAAATAGAACAAGGGGCCACTGAATGGTTTTAAAATCAGTAAGGGTGTGCACCAGGTTGTATTCTTCCACCTTACTTATTCAACCTCTATGATGAGCAAATAATCAAGAAGCTAGACTGTATGAAGAAGAACGTGGCATCAGGACTGGAGGAAGACTCATCAACAACCTGCGTTATGAAGATGATACAACTTTGCTTTCTGAAAGCCTAGAGGATTTAAATACTTACTGATGAAGATCAAAGACTGCCAACTTTGGTATAGATTGCACCTCAATAGAAATGAAACAAAATCCTCACAACTGGACCAATTAATAACATCAAGATAAATGAAATAAGGATTGAAGTCAAATACTTCATTTTGCTTGTATCAACATCAATGCTCATGAAATCAGCAGTCAAGAAATTAAACGACGTATTGCATTAGGAAATCTGCTGCAAAAGACCTCTTTAAAGAGTTCAAGAGCAGGTCAGTTGGAGGACTAAGGCATACCGGACCCAAAGCATATTATTTTTAATAGTTTCATATGCATGTGAAAGTTGAAAAATGAGTAAGGAAGGCCGAAGACAAATTGATGCATTTGAGTTATGGTGGAGAAGGAGAATATTAAAAATACCATGGACTGCCAAAAGAACAAACCAATCTGTATTGGAAACAGTACAGCTAGAATGCGCCACGAAAGCTAGGATGGCTAGACTTAGTCTCTTATACTTTGGACATATTATCAGGAGGGGCCAGTCCCTGGAAAATGACATCATGCTTGGTATAGTAGAGGTTCAGTGAAAAAGAGGAAGTTCCCCAACGAGATGGACTGGCACAGTGGCAGTAGCAATGGGCTCAAGCATAGCAACGATTGTGAGATGGTGCAGGACCAGGCAATGTTTGATTTTGTTGTGCATAAGGTACCAACTTGACGGCAGCTAATGAGAACAACAAAGATTCAGTACATCAGCTGCAGATACCATGTTTTAAGTAGTTAATAGTCACATTAGATAAGTGATTACTATGTTGAACAGTGCAGTTGTAGAACATTTCTATCATCCCAGAGAGTTCGATTATATAGTACTGATATAATCTAAAGATTTTTTTTTAACCATCTGTTATTTTATTTTATTAGTTCTGTAGCTGTCAATTACTTTTCATTCTTCCTTTTTTAAAAATTTCTACCAGCCTGCTACACAGCCTCAGTATCCTTATCTGTAAAGTAGGGACACTACCTACTTTACACCAGTTTCATAATTTTGATACATGCTACAACATGGAAAAATCTTAAAGACATGCGAAGTGAAGTAAGTTGATACAAAAAAGCAAACATTTTATGCTCCCACTTACACGAAATATGCCTAAGAGGCAAGGGAGAGAAACCAAAGTCTGTTAGTGGTTACTAGGGGCAGTAATGAGGGGGAAAGAGAAGCTCTTGCTTAAGGGGCACCGAGTTTCTCCTGTTAATGGTAATGATATAATTTTAAAATGGTAGTGGTGATGATTTGTGTAACACACAGCAAGAGTAATGTCACTGAACTGTTTATTTAAAGTATGTCTAAAAAGCAAATGAATTGTTATGTAGAATTTTACCATAATGAAAAAATAATTCCTACTTCACAAAATTGGGAGTTCATATAATGAAAGTATTTTAAATAGTGTCAGATGCCTCATCCGTTCCGTTTTCTATTTTTAGCACATTCCAGAAGTTCTGATGTTGATCACACACCAATCATGTTTAAAGTTCTCATATACAAATGGCAACGCTACAGAATAGAACACTTACTCGGCAGCGTAGGGACCGTTTAATCAGAAGATGCTTGTGGCGAGGATAAAGCTGTGAAGCACAGAATGGTTGGAAGTCCGGCTGTAGGAGGCGCTGCTGAAGGGTAGTGACTAACACAAAAGGAAGAAGCCAGGTTTACTCTATTGGGACTTGCTCAAAATCAGACTTACATGCAAATGGTAGTTACATGAAGCAATGCTGTCTTTGTGAACGGTATTTCTAAAACACTACAGAAATATGATAGGTATTCAGTTTTTCAAATAATTTTAACTATTTTTGACATGACCATTTTACTAACAACTATGCTTTTAAAAATCTTAGGTAACAAGGCATATAGTATTGAAAACAGAATTCAAAAAAAGTAGAAAGAAGAGTATATAAAATTACCCTCTGTCAAATTGACTGGTCTTGTATAATAGTCTTCAGGTAGAGGCTCCACTTCATCTAGAGCCTGAGCTGGCTCAATCTTGATCTCTTTCTGATCCTCTCCCTCTTTAAGGCTAAAAGAGAAAAAGCAGTCAGTGTTTGTGATATCAGTCATTATTCTTCTTTTGTAGAATCATATTTTGTTTATGTCATATCTTGCAAGAGTCCTGATGTGGCACTTTAGGATTAGTATTAGACTGCTAACCACAAGGTCAGCAGTTCAAATCCACCAGCTGCACCTCGGAAACCCTATACAGGTTCTGTAAGAGTCGTAATCAACTCAACAGCACTTAACAGCAACAACATATCCTGCAAAAATTAATATTTTCTGAGCATCTTCTTCCTAAGTGGTAACTCTTACTTTTATGTCCTATTCCTTCATATTCATTTTGTCATCTGCTTTTTTCCTCAAAGTTATTCAATGTCCAAACTTACGAAAGTCCAGCAAGGGTACTGATGGAAGCACCAGCTCGTGGTCGTTGAAGTCTGGTTCCAAGACCGTATTTGTCCTAAAGAGAGTTCAGAAATTCCTATTAGGTATTTCATGTTTACATATCCTTCACTATTTATTAAAAAGATAACAACAACTTGGAGAGGGACAGCATGAGAAGCTTAGGGAAATAAGCAAAAAAAAAAAAAGGCTAATTTAAAAGCTTTTAGAGAGTAATATGAAGGGGCTTCAAAAAAGTTTACAAAAAAAGGGAATGTAATTTTTACTACAAATTTTGAAACCCCTTCTGCATGAAGCCCCCAGATCATTATCCTGTTCTTCAAATAATAATCAAAGTACCAAACATGGAGTCTGAAACTAGCACAAAAATAGCTCAATTATAGTGAGTGTCTTCCTGAAACACTAGTTACCATCAGCTGGTTTCTTCTGGGTCAGCAAGAATCATAAAAGAGAACTTACCACTACATGAATAGTGTGTTGCTGTGAAGAGCCCCCAAATAGCAGCAGGTTGCAACAGAGACAAAAAAATGCAGCATAAGATAGGAGCAAACTCATACAGCAGGCAGGTCAAATGGGAAAGTTGAGAGAAGAATGCATTTAATTGAGATTCTTCTTCTAAATATAAACTACCATATATGCTAATTATACTACTGGAAAAATTCATTAAGACTTCATTGAAGTCTTAAGGCAAATTTAGGTGCTTTACAGGGTTTATTGATTATCAAATTCTAAATTAAGTTTTTTTGTTTTTGTTTTTTTTAATGTGGACCTTACCAATCCTTAGGGTTTCAAATGGCTTAACCAATTCTCACGAGGAAGCAATGTGAGAAGGGATTTAACCTTCCAAGGACTGATTCTCAAGGTAGAGGGAGACACCGTCTACCTCACAGGGTTGTTGGAAGGATATACTAAAGGATGTGTATATTGGTCCAGTGGTGAGGATGTGTAAAGTGTGTAGCACAGTGTATGGTACATGGTCCAGTGGTGAGGATGTGTAAAGTGTGTAGCACAGTGTATGGTACATGGTCAGCATTCAAAAACCGTTATTTATTAATGTCAACTGGCTTGGCCCCAAGTAAGCACACAGAGAACAAATTGTTCTATGACAGCAAATAAACCTGGAAACAATAACAAATACCCCAAACCCAGAGTTTTTGCTTCAGACAGGTAGTACATAATGATTTCCCATAAAAAACTTCCACTTGCATATTATTATTATTTCTCTAAACACACAAAGGAGTCCTGGTGTGGCGCTGTGGACTAATGCGTCAGACTGCAGTCATTTAAACTGCTAGGTCAGTGGTTCAAGCTCACCAGCTGCTGCTTGGAAACCCTATACAGGGTCGCTATGTGTCAGAATCAACTCGACAGCACTTAACAACAACAACAAACACACAAAAGTACTGTGCAAAAGACAGTGTTTTTCAAAAGTAATATGGGAAGGGGCCACTGTGTGATCACTGAAACTGAGAAACCATCACGACCGGGATATCAGAGGCAGACTACACGGACAACCCGAGTAAAATCTACCACCGGTCCACCTTCTTCTCTGATTTCCAGGAACACCAAAAGCTATAAATAGTGGAGTTCTGCAGTACCTACAAGACTCAACAGCAGCTTCTTTGGGGAATAATCAGAAGAGGAGGAGTGATGGAGAAAGAAATACTACTGATAACCAAACAATCAAGGACAAAGGCCATGGAAAGCGTAACTGTCAGAATTAACCAGCTATCATTTGAAAAAGTGCTTTCTGCTACCCACCATTCAGAAATCTTGACACAAAGATCACTTTCTGAAATGGTCACTATTTTCAGGTCTCAGAGATTGATCTATGAACCACAAAGTCTTTTTTGTGTCAAACCCTCACCGAAAAAGCCAGAGGCATATAGTTTCGACGTCGTGCCAGTTTCTTGCGATCTCGTTCAACTTTCTCTTTCTGAGCAAGCTGCTGGTAATATTCAATAAGTTTGTTCATCTGTAAGAAAACAAAGACTCAGTATTTATTTCATGAAAAACCTAACTGGAAGCATACAAATCAACTATGCTAACTAGGCATACAATGAATAAAATAGTGCCCCACTACAATCAAGTCGATTCCAACTCACGGCAACTAATACAGAGTTTCGAAGATAATAAATCTTCACAGGATTTCTATTTTTCTCCTTCAGAGTAGCTGGTGGGTTTGAACCACCAAGCTTGTGGTTAGCAGCCCAACACCTAACCCACAGTGCCACCAGGATTCCTTACATAATAAACAGAGAACACATAATTAAATTAGGTGGGCAAGTCTTCATTTTCCTTTAAGAGTATGTCTCATTACATGATCCACTTTCTGAACCTCAAAGTTTTAATAATAAGAGGAAGCAGTGAGAAATGAAAAGGCTTGGGAATTTCATACTCTTTTCACTGCTCTTGCACTGGACCACTGTTTCTATAAAGATTTACAGCCTTGGAAACCTTATACAGGGTCACTATGAATTAAAACTGACTTGATGGCAGTGAGATGTATTTCCTATTACTTATAGTTCCCATTCTTTCTGCATTGCCAGAGGACCAGTTATTTCTAAGAATGTGACATACCACACTGTCACATTATTTTTAAAATTCAAGTATAGACATACTGATTTCTTGTTGTTGTTAGGTGCCATTGA